GGAGACGATAGATTATCTTTATTGCTTGCAGCTCTTGGTGTGGCTGGTGAGACCAATCCTCGAATGGCAGTCTCTGTTACATTTCCCACACACGAATGCGGTGGAGCAGTATTTACCGGCCTTCCTCCTCGCTCTTTTTGCAGCTGTTTCCGCCCTGTTTTGATCCTCGGGTGTTATGTAGCACAATTTCCTGTGCGTGAACTTTCCTCGACCTCGCAGTACACTCCTAGCAGACAGTAACGTCTATTGTGGGCGTGGTTAAATCTCTTTGATGTATCTTGTTTACAATCGGCTTCCAATTACACATTGGGTAGAATGTCTCCGGGTATCTTCTCGAATGTGCTCCTTAACCCGCGATATGTAAACAACACGTCATAGGTCCTTCTGGAAGCGTCTTACGCTACATGTATATAAAGGATTGACAGATACGAAGGGACGGAGATTCAGATAGATTTTATTAACTTTACGAGGCGTGTTTTATTCTTTGTGTATTTGTGTGCTCATATGTGTTTATTTCGCATTATTTATTGGCACATTATTCTAACTGTGTACCGGTACAAGATCTACCATACTGTAAGTTGAAGATTGTAATTATATTATCTTTTCTTTTGTAATTATCTTAAGACTTAATAAATCTTATTAATGGTAACTAAAAACTGTTTTGGGTCGTATCTTTAATATTGTTGATTCTATGGTATCGTCCTTTGTTAGGCACTGTTTACAACGAGCCAATTAAAATTAAAATAGGAGATTAATTTCTCCCAATACACGTCAGTGCGTAACACTCGGCACGTAGTGATCCTGCCTTCACGATGCCCCCCCCCCCATGAGGATCGATCCTCTGCAAGCTCCTCCCAGTTTGAGATGTCGATGTTGGCCGACTTCATGTCTCTTTTGCATATGTCTAAGTATCTCAGACGAGGCCGTCCAACTGACCTTTTCCCTGTCGCCAGCTCGCTGTATAGCACGTCCTTTGGTATGCGACCAGGTTGCAGTCGCTTGACGTGTCCAAGCCAGCGGAGGCGTCTTTGGATTAACATGGCTGGGACGCTATACACATGTTTGTTTGTGACAGGACATCGTGTTGGGGACTTTGTCTTGCCATTTAATGTCAAGGATGTGGCGCAGGCATCTGAGGTGGAAGCCATTGAACCTTCTTTTGTGTTTAGAGTATGTGGTCCACGACTCGCATCCATACAGGAGTGTGCTCAGTACGCAGGCCTGGTACACCTGCAGCCTAGTTCTTGTTGTGAGTTTGGCGTTTGACCAGACTCTTTTCTTCATCCTGGCCATAATAGTGCGGCCTTCCCTATCCTACCACTTATCTCATCCTCCATTGAGAGGGTGCTCTATATGTTGGATCCCAGATATGTGAAACTGTCAACAGTATCCAAGGCGTAGTCGTCGATGGCGATAGTGGGGAGGGAGTCAGCACCCTGTGCCATAATGTTAGTTTTCTTTAGGCTAATTGTCAGGCCAAACTCTTTGCAGGCAGCGGATAGGCTGGATACGAGGCTCTGCAGGCCGTCTGCAATGTGAGATACCAAAGCGGCATCGTCCGCAAACAAGAACTCCCGCATCATGACCTTTCTTGTTTTAGTCTTAGCTCTAAGGCGGGCAATGTTGAATAATTTGCCGTCAGGATGGAGAAAAAGATTGCAAATAAAGTAGGAGCCAGCACGCAACCTTGCTTTACTACACTACCCACTGGAAAAACTTCTGAGGCGGCACCGTTTTAGCACACTATGCCCAGCATGTTTTCGTGGAACTGCTTGATGATGTTAAGCAGTCGTGTAGGGCAGCCTATCTTTTTTAGGATCTGAAACAGGCCGCTTCTGCTGACAAGATCAAAAGCCTTAGTGAGGTCGACAAACGCAATGTATAAAGGCACAAGTTGCTCCCTGCACTTCTCCTGCAGCTGGCGCAGAGAGAAGATCATGTCTATGGTTGACCTACCGGCGCGAAAACCACATTGCGATTCTGGGAGTACACGTGATGCTAGGGTCTGTAGGCGTGTTAGTGCAACTCGGGCGAAAGCCTTTCCACCTATGCTGTGGAGGGAGATTCCACTATAGTTGTTGCAGTCACTCTTGTCTCCTTTATTTTTGTACAATGTATCGATGTTTGCATCTTTCAACTCTTGTGGTAGCTGTACCTGTTCCCAGCACAGAGTAAGGAGATCGTGCAAGGGCCGTAATAGTACTCCTTTTCCACATTTGAGAGCTTCTGGTGGGATACCATCATTGCCCGGGGCTTTCCCATTGGCGAGACAATAGATGGCTCTACGTAGCTCTTCTGTGGTGGGTAGAGTATCAAGCTCCTCCATGACCGTAAGTCTGGGATATCGTCCAGGGCAGCGGTTGAGACATGGTTTATCGTTGCGTATATATTTCCAAGTAGTGCTCTATCCACCGCTTTAGTTGTTTATCTCAATCAGTAATAATTTCCCCTGATTTGGACATTAAGGGCGCAGTCTTGGAGGTCAAAATTTGGTACCAATAAGAGAACACAACTACACTTTCTTCTGGCAGGGTGGACCAAGGAACGCACCAAGACAACATGGGATTGGTTTTGTTTTAAAAAAAACACACTCTGCTCCTCCATAGAACCGCCGACAAAGGGCACAAATCCTACTACTATCCGTCTATCAATATCTTCAGGTTTAGTCAACATCCTCAATGCTTATGCCCCAACCCTTTCCTCCAGCTCAGAAGCCAAAGACCAGTTCTACGAAGATCTTAATCAAACAATAGCCAGCATACCCAACAACGAAGCAATTTACCTTTTGGGTGACTTCAATGCAAGAGTAGGAAGCGATCACATGGCCTGGCCAACATGCCTCTGTCATTTTGAAAGAGGCAGGCTAAATGAAAATGGGCAGAGACTATTGGAACTGTGCTGCCTACATGGACTATGTGTAACTAACACCTACTTCAACTGTAAGGCTATCCACCAAGTGTCATGGAGGCATCCCCGCTCTAAACACTGGCACCAGTTAGATCTCATAATCACAAGACTCACACAACTGGCCAGTGTCCTCCTCACACGCAGCTACCACAGCGCAGACTGCGACAAGGATCATTCCTTAGTGGCGTGGCTAGCAAGATAAGGCTACAGCCGAAAAACTGTATCACACTAAAAACAAGAGTAAACCACGCATAAACATCTGCTCCACCAAAAACCCAGAGAGAACAGAAGTATACACCCATAGTCTACAAGAGCTCTTGTACAAACGCCACCAATGGACACTATCGAGTCCAAATGGTCACATTTGCGGGACACTATCTATAACTCGGCTATCATGGCATTTGGAAAGAGAGAACGCAAAAGTGCAGATTTGTTCGAGGCCCATTGGCAGGAAATGAAACATGTCACCGATGCAAAAAGAAAGGCCCTCTTAGCTTATAAAGACAGGCCTTGCCCATCAACTCGACAATCGCTTAAAAGCGCCAAGACAAATGCCCAGCAGGCAGCTCGCCACTACGCTAAAACATACTGGCTCAATCTAAGCTCCAGCATACAATCAGCTGCTGATAGCGGTGATGCAAAGTCAATGTACGAGAATATAAAGCAAGCAACAGGCCTTCTGATCTCCAAGACTGCGCCCTTTATATATATATTATATATATATAATATATATATATATATATATATATATATATATATATATATATATATATATATATATATATATATATATATATATATATATATATATATTTATATATATATTATATATATAAAATATATATATATATATATATATATATATATATATATATATATAATGCATGTGTATGTATGTGTGTGTTTGGATGATCATAACAGTTTCGCCAAAAAAAACAACAAAAAAAACAACAACAACCGTGGGCTAGATTATATGTGTATATAAATTTAAT